CACTGAAAAACATAAAAGTGATGCAGTCAAAAGTAAAAAGAAATGAGGAAATCAAATTTAGGGCCTCAGTCCTGAACAATGTTCCAACATTTCCTTCAAGCGGCTGTTGCGAAATCTTTTCTTGTAGAATCACAAGTCGTCGAAGGAGTATATTGTGGTAACACGCTTGCACATGAGCACTGCAGCACTGCTGAGGATAATAAATATATCTAATAAATATCATTATTTTGGACCAATCTCCCACAATAAAGGAGGAGCAGTGAGGGATGGCACTGGGGACCGGCTGGGATATTGGCAATATATCAGCATTGATTATTGAGAGTACTGACAGAGACAGAGAAGGAGAAAAGGGGAGAGGGAGTTCATAAAAACTAATAAAAGAGACAACGAGTGAGGAAGGAACAGAGGCTTTAGATGGATCTGCTTTTCTGCTCTAAAATAAAATCAAAAAATATGTGTGTGTGTGGAAGACTGTCCATCTGTTTGTATGTACAAGACATAAATGCGCATGTTCACTTTTATTAACACTACAATTGGTGGAAGAAATATGAAACTATACTAGATAATTATGTAGTATTCTATGTTTGTGGCGAAATGTGTCACATAGAATCTTTTAATTAAGGCAGCGACGGTTTCTGAGCTCTTTGAATGTGTCTGTACGCATGACCGAATGAAAGAAAGAGCGAGATGAAAGACATGCAATGTGTTGCTGGATGTTGCAGTGAGATATTATTGATCAGACTACCATATTGTTGATGAAAGAGAATTTAATCTGACTTGCTCATCTGTCAACGTGGCATCATTGTTTAGCAGCAGCCATCGCAAACACGTATATAAAACTGCTTATTCTGTGATTCTTCATTCCTACATACATTCTCACAGCCTGCTCTTTTGCTCCATTATATTAATCATACTTTCCACTCTGCTATATGTCTCTGTCTGAATAATGTGTGTTATAGCCTAGAGAATTTATTATTTCCTGTGCACATAAGCATGGAATATTTCTGCGGTTGTCAAGACTTGACAGTTTAATCATCAATAACAAACACAGCGGCATTAATCATGCATGCGTTTCATTCCTCGCTCATGTGGAGTCATTTGAAGATCTCCACACTAAAACTGTCACCTCTCTCTGTTAGACAGGCAATTGCTAACAGCAAACTGTGTTTTAAGGATTCTTGTGATCTCATCTGAATAATTAATATGAGTTGAAGCAATAAGCAAAATGACAGACAACCGTTTTGTCCGTTTTCAGCACTGTGTGGAAAAATCACAAGCTGCTATCCTCTGGGGAAAAAAAGGTTCTTTATTGGCATCTGTAGTTCCATGAGGAAGCTTTAACATCAATGGAACCTTTCCACTGCATAAAGGCTTATTTATAGTGGAAAAATGTTCTTTAGATATTTAAAATGTTCTTCAAACTAAGTAAAATGGCTATTTAAAGAGCTGTTCACTGAAAGATTCCTTAGGTGAACCAAAAATGGTTCTTTTATTGCATTTCTGCAAAAAAACAAAAAAAGAACCTTTATTTTTAAGAGTATACGCTTCTAAAGAGTTTTTCTTCGTTAAGTATTTAATAAAACTACTTTTGTTCAAGATGCATATGATAATTGGTTTGCTATGTAGAAGTTGTAATTGTGTTATATTAAAGAAATATTCACCCAAAAAAGAAAATCATCATCTTTAGCCCCTTCACAGTAATTCTGCTAAATTCCGGTAAAATTATTTGAAAAATATGCTTTTTGTCCATAAAGTAAAAGTTAACTACAACACTGAACCCCATTGACTTTGGGCAAAAGAAGAAAAAAAAGTCATACAGGTTTGAAACGATATAAGGGTGTGAAATAAGGGTGAAAATGGGAGAAAATAACTGTTTTGGGGTTTCCCCAAAGAAACTTACAGTGAACAAGTCTTTAGAAAACCTTCTTTTTTTCTTAGTTTGAAATAAATTTTTTAATCCAAAGACCCTTTTCCCTGGATGTTAAAGCTTCTTCATGGAACCTTTATTTTTAAGAGTGTATTACTCCAGGAAGTCAACATAAACAGGAACAATGGCTAGGTATGTGCGGAGAACACAGCTAGGAAGGAGGTGTTAGCTCCCTATCCTTCCAACACCATCTTATTTTCCTCTCCCTCAATTTAGCACTCTCTCTTTCCCTCCAGTCCCTCTCTCCTTCTCTTAGATGCGCACAACCACACTATATTCTACAAGAAATAATTGCTTTTGTCTGAAAGGAGTACTGGAGGGAGGGGCCCGAGCACCCCGTTACCTCAGCACGTCGAGGGGGTACGAGAGGGACAACCGGTCACTGCTTTTCATCTCTTTCACTTGACCTGCGGATGTCATCTGTCAATAGCGAGATGCATGAGAAGGACAGGGACAATGAAACGTGAACAAAATTAGGAGGAAACACGTTTTGTTGCAGATGGAAAGACCCCCCAAAATTGAACACAACAAACAACTACAACAAGAGACATAATCATATAATTTTTTATTACTATTATAAAATGACACATCATTATTTGTGGTTGCATAGAAGTAGATTTTGAAATGATTTGTATTAGCAACATCTCTTCACATCTCGGTCATTGCCAAGACTTCTGAGCCTGAGCTCACCGAGAGTTTTACTGCCTAGTGAAATCGATTTACTCCTATCGATTGAAGTGTTTAGCGTATAGATTTTTCTATTTAAAAATCTATATTGACAATAATCTTGTGTGTAAGTGTGCCGCAGCATGGTTTGTAATTGACAGGGCGTGATGAATTGGCGGTAGGAGAGAGGAGCAGCGAGCGCTCGCTGATTAAGGCCCCCGGGAGGTTTTGCTGGCACAACAAGATTTCCGAGCACAGTGTTTCCCAACCCTGTTCTTGTTGGAGCCCCCCCCCCCCAATTGTACACATTCTGGATGTCTCGCTCATCTGGCACACCCTTTTTAGGCCTTTCAGTTTTATACTGCTGATGGGTATAATTAGGTGTTTGATTTGGGAGACATCCTGAATGTGTCCTGTTGGTGTGCTCCAGGAGCAGAATTGGGAAACTGTGTGTAACTTTCTTGAGATCAGCCTGTTTTGCTTCTGCTGTTGTTCTGCACATCATATTGGTAAACAATGTTTATTGACAAATACAAATATAATAGTGTTTTAGTATTTTACTGATGAGCTGATGGTCAAGTGCTTGATTTGAAGACATCTTGAATATGTTCTGTTTGGGGCCCGGACAGATTTGGGAAACAATGTGTTTCACCCCAGCTCTCTTGAGATCAGCCGTTTTGTTTCTGCTGTTGTTCTTCACATCATATTGGTAAAACGTTTATTGACGAATAAAAACGCAACAGCCTGTGTGACTTATTAAGAGATTCTCAGGTGTGTCCAAGAACATTTACACTCTACATTTCTATGCATTTCTGCATAATCTGATATTAATCCAAATTTGGTTGATTTTCAATGATGTCAGTAATGAGCAGATTAAGCCAGCATTACAGTTAAGCACAACTCACATGTGGTTTTATTAATCAGGCTGTTGGTAAACGTGAACACCTCATTTGGAATATCCAAAAAGTCCAAACAAAAGGATAAAAGTTACATAAATGTGGGTAATATTAAATACATTGAAGAAATGCATTTTAGAATTAGACTCAATTTTTACCTACTATCAAGGCATTATGATAAAAAAAAAAACAGTATGGCCAATATTTGCCTTTTATTGTGCACTTGTTTATTAAGCACATGAATGGTAGTTAATGAGTTAACTAAAATGATAGTTCACATAATTTACTCACTATGATGTTGTTCCAAATATGTTTTTCTTTCTTCTTGGGAGCACAAAGGAAGGTATTAAAAATAATACCTTGGCTGGGTATTTTTCAATACAATTAAAGTCAATAACAGAGGACAAAGTAAAGCATAAATGAATGACATGAACATGAGTGACAAATTAAAAAATAAATAAAATAAAATAAAAATATTACCAGCAAATGAAACTTAATCTGAAAAGTGTATGCATGTAAACATGGTCACCGAGGGAGTGCCTTTCTTTTTTTGAAAAAGCTAGTTTTGCTCGCTATATTAAATTTGTTTATACCCTTATAATCTACATTAGATCAATAAGTGTTGCTGGAAAGAGATGTTTGTAGTTGACTGTGATTTTACCTTTCAGCGAGGCGAGGGGGGGGTGGGGGGTTGAGAAGAGAGAGAGAGAGAGAGAAGGAGAGAGAGAGAGAGAGAGAGAGAGAGAGGGAGAAGGAGGGGGGGGGGAGGGGGGGGTGATGTGAGAGTTGTAACGGCTCCGCTCACGCTTCAATGTTGCGGACAGCGTGGTGGATTCAGAGCGCGCGAGCGTAGGGGAGGTGAGCGTGTACGAATGAGCTATTGGGGTTCCCAAATAACGGGACTAGGCAGACAGACCAAAACACGCAGGCGGATGGACGGAGATATAGGCAAGTGATCTTAAAAACCAGCGACGTAACGAGCTCTTTTCCCCCTGATGTTTTCGTGCTTTATTTATTTGTTTGCCTTATTTAGTCATGTATCGATTGATTGCGTTTTAATTACTGGTGTGTGACAAGGTGCGTGGGAGGAGGGGCGAATCCGGCGGACACGTTGAGTTGCCTTATTTTTCTATAGATTTTTAATTTCAATGAGCCAAAATAAGCAGACGGTTTTTAGTAACTAAATGAATGTGTAGCCTGTAGCTGCTAGAACAAGGAAGAGAGCTATAGAAGAGCTAGACCAAATAAATTCATCAAAAAATGCACCACATATCCAAGTAATAACAGTATCCGCTGTCTTTTATACGTTATACAGTCAGGGTGTGAAATCTTTTTTTTTATTATTCTTTATTAGAACTAATGCAGAACCGTCCGTTTATTTCACAAGCAGATAACCAAAGTTAAAGCGACTGCGACCAGGCCAGCTGAACATACGGTGGTCAGTGTCGACGAGGACAGAAACACTTCAGTTTACAACGGGAGATATGCATTTATTGACGTTCGCAAACATAGTAAATATATGCCTTTGAGTGACAGAAACATATATGTTCGGCAAACAGATCGAACAGTTATACCAAATACTGTAGCTGAATACCAAAACGAATAGACAAACGTGAAAGTAATAGTAAAATAACCCCCGTTTGTCTTGTTTTAATCCGTCTATCCGCCTGTGTGCGCGCGCTGGGAAAATACAGTCGGGCTGCGCGCGTCTGCGTATCTATGCACGTAGATCAAAAGTAAACTACAAGCGAAAAGGGAAAGGGTTTTTATTTTAAAAAATGTAACTGGAAAACCCACGCATAAACGCAATTTTATGAATAGCAAGGTATTGTGTCGAAAACGCCTGGAACCAAAGTGAGATAAAGCATCTTGCCACAACTGCTAAAATTGCAAAGAAAAATCAACAGCAAAAAGAACATCTGAATAGAACCAGACAAGAAGACGGATCATGTTTGTTCCTTTGCCGGTGCCGTTTGTCTTGCCGAGAACTGCCTCTGATCTCCACGCCTGGCGCCTCAAGTCGCCGCTGGCTCTGCGCTCTCACTCCGGTAAGGCTTTCTTCCAGAGCAACCACCCTTTCTTTCTTCTAACACCGAATCCAGTGACCGCGCTCAGTGGCCTAATCCCCGTATCCATCGTGTGAATGAAACATCCTCATTTTGCCGTTTTCTGTTTGTGCGACACGCGCTTGCCGCCCTTTCCAACCTTTCAGTTTAGTCCAACCGACGCGAGTCAAGTTTGTCTACAGCAAAACTAGCACTACGCTATCGCGCCTCAAAATGCAGCTCAGGTCGGGTTTGTTTTGTCAAGGTGTTTCCTAAATATATTCCCGTCTCGTTGGACTTAGTTTCTTCAGGGCTCCGCATCCGTCCGTCTCCTCCTCTCGCCTCTGCCTCTGCCTCTGCCTCCGTCTCCCCCGAACTAAACTCGCGGTGAGCTGGGAATATTCATGCCAACTTATCGATCTCCGCAGGATCGATTCCGGGGCCGGCGGATCGAGGGGAGACAGGAGAGAATCAGAGCAGCTACAGAGAACAGAGAAACGAGCGTTTGTGCTATTTAAACATCTTATGTTTGGCTCACAAATACAGATGTATAGTGTGATGGTCAGGTAGATAGTTGCACGTGTGATCGGCTATACGCGCTTTGAATAGATGATCACATACATATATGTGTATGATGTGATTTGCACCTCGTCTTTTGTAGTAAGAGACGGCGAAAGGCAAACGACGACTGTTTTCGTTATTGTTTTCATTGCGGGAACTTGCCGGTTGTTCGATGGCTACATAAAGATGAAAACACAAGGAAGCGGGGATGGAGAAGGAGGGCGGGGGTGGAGTAGGAGATGGGTGTAGTCTGAATTGAGGAGGCATAACTGCATAAGCAAGCTGCTCTTATGTTTACTGGGTATGTGACGTCTGAGAATACAATCAAATTGTTCAGTAATTGAATACAGAAACTGTTTTCTGTATAATTTATGCAGTGTTTATTTTGTATTATTTTTTATAAAGCTTATATGGGTTATATGTTGGAAAATGTGCATGCCATTTTGTGTAAAATATTATGCTTTAAGTATCTTGTAATAAGCACATTAACTGAGGGATTGCATCAAATATTTGTAACAAGATAGTTCCCCTTATAAATTTGGTTGAATTTCAGTCTAAAATCTAAAAAGAAGAAGAAGAAAAAATATTTTGGACTAGTTATTTGCATACGGGACACTTTGCCTATATTATGGTATAAAAACCAAGATGGTGCTTAAAAGGTCCTCAGACATTACTTTTGTTCTTTTTTTGCAACCTCATTTTACCTAGTGGGATTGCATTGTTCTCTAGCTGTGTGATCTTACCAATTCAGAATTTGCATAATTCAGAGTCTTACAGGTTTTCTTGGGCTTTGAGACAGAAGAATGATGCAGGATGGTAAAGGGGAAGGATAATGAGCCTCTTCCCCTCAGAGATTAACAGGGCCAAGGGAGAGGAGAAGGAGTTTCATGCCCCTTTCCCTGAAAAATAGCGAGTGTCAAAAGAAGATAAAAAAAAGAAGGCAGAAAAAAGAAAAAGCTGTGAACCACTAAAGGAAAGTAGGTGCAGATGACAGTGAAAAATGGGAACGAGTATGGAAAACCGAGTTTGAGCATGAGAGGTGATCTTGAGCTCTTGGCACAGCTTGTATGGACCCAGTCGTCTAGCTCATTAGGTATGAATGATAAGCAAGGCTGTAAACTTTGTTGTTTAGATCTACATACTTGGTACCTATTTCACATAAGTGGGTGAATGGCATGTTGAAAACTATCTGATTAATAATTTCACAAAACTGAAATAATTTTGACTAAGCTTTAGACAAACGTTTGTTATGTAAATTGTTCTTCACAGTCAACTAAACCTCAGCAAAATCTGAAAGAAGGAGTTCTTCATTTTATGCTGTCAAATACCATTACGGCCAGCAGAAATATGCATATCTCATCAAAGCCTCTTAATCACCATTAGAGAGAGTAGAACCTATTAACTATGATCCAGTTACTAATATATGCAGCTATTACACCCTATTCCCATTAGATAGCGGCTATAGACATGGACAGATGCAGAGATAGAGATAATCAAGACCTATTCTTGTAAGTGGTCTCTGGAATTATTGCCATTAACGGCTCCATTAAAGTTTTATGTGCATTACAGTAACAGGCAGGTCCTGGAAAATGAGAGAATATTGACTGAGAGAGAAAAAAGTGAACATTAAGCAACATTCTGCTTTGCATGACTTATGAACCAAAAAAAATCTGTCCTATCTGTTTTTACTGATTTCAACAGAGAGAAAGAAGAACTAAAATGTATTTGATCGATTAGGATAAAATGACTTTAAAAGTACTGAAAGATAATCATTTCATTGTCATAATGACAGCTGACAGTGTCCAAAATGGAATCCATATATTTTTGTAGCTATTTATATATTTATTTTTGGTAGCTTTGTGTGAGCGAATGTGAGAGAAAGTGTTATTATAGATCAGGGCAAGTCCTGGTGTTAAGATGATTGCCAATGACAAAATGTCAGCTTGAGTTTGTTAGTAACATAATGGGGAATCAATAGATATAAGGAAGATGTCAATACAGAATGTTCTACTGCATTTCACGCTCTCTCTCTCTCTCTTTCTCTCTCTCACACACACACACACACTCTCTTCCACCCTCTCTTGCTCTGATTGATATGCCATGTCGTCATGATGTTCGTTTAGTGACAGTACTCCCACAGGTCTTTTAGTTGTACTGTTAGTTTCAGCAGAGCAGAAATGTGTTTGCATCTGTGTGGGTTGACCTTCTGTAGTGTATTAACACTGACGGCACCCTTCCCCTCATTAGCACTACTGGAAGACGTGGCTTTTCATTCTGTAAGACATTCCCTAGAGTTCTTTCCTCCCAGTGACCATTACAAGCACACACACACTGTGTCTTTTTAATACAACCAGAAAGACATTACGCATCTTGAGTCTGCAACTGATGATGAAGATTTAGACTGAACTCTCTGTCACATACAAAGTTTAAAGATACTTACAAGTGCTTGCAAATTGATATTCCTCAAATATTCAAAAACTGCTAAAAAATTATTCAACCAAAAACACTAACTATTCCCTCAACCTTTCATGCACTATAATGTAAACCTTAAGAAATTTAGATCTGTCAATTTACATGCAGTTTTATACCAACTGTGTGCTTAATAAGCCATATGTAAACCTTAACTGTGTTCTTGTATCAGTTTATAAACATAAACAGTTCAAAAATTCAAGTTTTAAATTCGTGTGAACTTTGTTTTCTTGTATTGTCAAGTTTTTATAATGAATTTAATTAAACATTTTTGTTGTGCATGTAAACATACTCATTGACATAATGACAAACAAAATGTAACTGACTGCATTGTAATTTTGAGTAGTGGATTTTGAATGGTATTCTTTCTTAAACACATTTGCATATGGAATTGTGATTGGTTCTGTCTTTCTTTCACATAATTATTTACTTACAACCACATTTAAAGGGCATTTACACAGTTTACACAAAAACATGCATTTACACAAAAATGTGAGATGCAATGAAAAAAACGTTTTACTTAAGCACCACGTATTGAGAATGCCGTGTCATGCATGGAACACTGCAAAAGACGTGAAACTTCAGTGCAATGGTCAAAAATGGGCATCTAGCTTAATGTTTACATAGAAAAACAATGGAAAAGTGGACTGCAGAAATGCATTTTGGGTGAACGGTCCTTTACACCAGTGTTTCCCTGTTCCTGGAGGCACACCAGCAGTATGACAATCTTTTCTTTATTATACTGTCTTTCTACCTTGTTTTTTCTTTTTCTCATACAAAAACACTGGTGTTGGTGGCTACATGATGGCGCAAAAGCAGGCGAAGTGTTCAGACAGGCCCTTAATCAACACATCTGTGAGAGACGGCACCTGGTCAATACACCCCCTACCAGTACAGTAGGATTCAGCACTGCTGTGTTAATTTAGTGTGATTATCTGGCTCATGTGTATTTATGTGTGTATGTGCACATGTGTTGGGGAGAGAAAGAGAGAGAGATTGTTATATTCACCTCAGACACACAGAACTGTTGTGTGTGTAGATGGATGGAGGGATCGGGACTAGAATAAAACATGAGCGTAAATAGACATGAATGAATGTGTTGATATTTGACATGGCAGGTGCATAGTGGCTTTACTGCCAAATGGATGTAATGAGAGAAATTTAGATTAGCGTGTGGGGTAAACAGATGGATTGACACAGAATTATGCCACTTTTTAAAATCTGGCTCCTGCTTTGACTCTGTAAGGTGAAAAATTGACATAAACTAGACATAAATTTGTCCTCTCAGCAGCTGCTGTGTCTGTGTGTGCGTGTGTGTGTTGATAATAGAGAATGTGTAATAAAAGCTTGCTCTTTGATTATGTCCTTCACTCCTCATGAACAAGCTCAAGACCTAAATCTGTTCTCTTCCTCCATTTCATTTAAGATTTATAGCGTTCAAGGTCTCCCGTTCACATGTAGGGCTTAGTGAATGTCTTTCAGGGTTTTTACCCCTTTCTTTTCATGGTCGAAAGGTGTTCTGGTGACATGTTTTGATTAATAATGCCAATTAGTTTATTAGTTATTAATAATTTATTTTGGGAATTAATTCATATTGAATGATAATGATGTTTCTCATCTAAATTATATTATCTTATAGATACAATTTGATTTAGATTAAATTAGTGGTCTACTGTTGCAGTGTAAATTTATGCATATATAGTATGCAGTATTTCTGACTGGATGCTTTTGAGTAAATAATAGTAAATAAACATCTGTAAAATGTTTACCTTATATCATTCCAAACCTGTATGACTTTCCTTCTTCTGTGGAAGACAAAGAAGATATTTTGAAGAATGCTGGTAACCAAAACGTTATGGACTTGACTCATTGATATGAAAACAAAACCCCCACTAAAACATTTCTCCAAATATCTTCTGTTTTATGTTCCACAGAGGAAAGAAATCATAGAGTTTAGAAACAACATGAAGATG